ATTAATTTATGTTTAATTTTAAATTAAACATAAATTAATGTTTTTAACTCTTAATTGTTGACAAAAATCAGTGTTTGTTTTTATATTTATGAGGTTCTATTCATAAATAGGTAGGGGAATTGAAAAAGAAAAAACTGGGTACTCAAGAGGATAAAACGGGGGCCACTAGGGTGGCCAGCTTATTCTCAGGGGGGGCCATGCCCCCCCCTGCTGGCGCCCCTGCTCTGAGTCCCTTCTGGATGACTGAGCTCAGCCTGTCTCTAAGGGGGAGCCCAGACACCCTGCAGAGGAAACTCATTTCAGCTGCTTGGATCTGTGATCTCCTTCTTTTGAATTTGTTTGGAACTGTCCAACATGGAGTCTGAACATTTTGTAACTTTTCTAATTTTTGTGGAGTTAAACTCACAATGTTCATTCGTTATTTTATATGCACCTGTAATTTTTCAGTTTTAAACTGTATTTTTGCTCTTGTTGGAAAGAACATGAAAAACTGTTTTACAAATATTTAGAATTGGCAATTTAGTCATTTTTTATTCCTTTAGTCTCCAGTCAGCTAGTAGGTTTTAGTCTCTGCGCATACAACAGTTTGATTTATCCTGCAGCCATGACAGCTAGAGACAAGTTAAAGTTTATTTAAAATTTTAAATGAACTTTATGAAGGGCAAAGACACAAGTACTGTTGTTCCACAGTCTTTTTTTCCCATATTCCTGTCCTCAGCAGTGTTTGTTCTCCAACACTTTAATTTCACACTAATAAGATGCGGTTTGTCAATAATTACTGACTCATCTGTAGTTCACCAGACACAGATCTGAACCTTATTAGACAACAGTTKTGCTTTCCTGCTGGCTCCTGTGTCTCTGCATTAATGAACTTTAGATTTTATTTTTACGGGTTTATGCAATGACTCAAACATAATGTGGAACACTCTACACAAAGAACATTTATTACCAAAAATAATCCTCACTTAAAGCTCTTTAAACTCACTGACGTTCTGCAACAAGTTTTACAACATGTCCCTCATTCAGACAGTGCTTTATAAATATATTTACGTTATTTAAACCAAACAGGTGAGTATGTGTGTGTGTGTGAGGGGGTCTTAGCCAAGGACAACGGTGGCACTTTGCAGGGGCTGGGGATCAAACTGGTCATGGTTTAAAATCATGCATGGTACGGAAGTTTCCCTGCTTAAATCAGCACTCATCCAGGCCCATCTTAAGTTTGCCCATGACCATTTGGACGATCCAGAGGAGTCATGGGAGAAAGTTYTGTAGTRATTTGAGACCAAAATAGAACATTCTGGTCTTAACTCCACTGGCCGTGTTTGGAGGACCAAGAACAATGAGTACCATCCCAAAAACACCATGGACATGCACCTAAGATGAAAATTTCAGACCCCTCCGTGATTTCTAAGTGGGAGAACTTGCAAAGTCGCAGGGTATTCAAATACTTATTTTCTTAATTGTAGAAATTTTGGGGAATCCTAACTGACCTCAAACAAAAAAGATTTAATTTCATTTCAAACTAGAAGCACTTGGAGAGTGCAAACCTCCACCAAGACCAGTTTCCCCCAACCTGTAAGAGTTAATGTACAACAGCAGAGATGGAAACACATTTYCTGAATAAGTTCTGARGTAGTGAACATTTAAGCAGCAGTATGCACGGGATTTCTTCTCAGCGGAGTCCAGTGTGAAAAAAAAATGTCAGACTCGTCACCCAACGTTATTCATGGTCAAACTGGTGTGGGATTAAGCTCCTAAGTTGTCATCAGTCACATTTCACCATGTAAAACATCTGTTTTATCTCCTTGTATGAGTTTGTAATGGTTTGACTCTTTATAAAGTGCTTCCTGGCTCCCCCCGTCTCCAAACTTTG